TTCTTCATGATCTGAAAAAATGGAATAGCTCGATCGGGTAGCTTGGATAGGAATCTGCTCATAGCTGCTAACCGACCGGTCAATCTCTGCACTTCTTTGAGGTTCCTAGGAGCCTCCATATCCACATTTGCCTTCACCTTTTCAGGATTGGGCTCAATCCCCTTCTCGCTCATCATGTATCCCAAAAACTTGCCCCCTCTTACAGCAAAAGCACATTTTTGGGGATTCAGTCTCATGTTCGCTTTCTGCATTATCCCGAACACCTTTTCTATGTCCAGGACATGATTTTCCTTTTTCCGGCTTTTGATCAGGATATCATCAACATAATCCTCCATTGTGACCCCCAACACTTCTTTGAACAACATCCCGATCATCCTTTGGAAAGTTGCCATTGCGTTCTTTAATCTGAATGGCATGACAATATAGCAAAACACACCATCCGAAGTAACGAACGTTGTTTTCTCTGCATCAGCTGGGTGCATGAAGATCTGATGGTAACCCCGGAATGCATCCATGAAGCTTAACAATTCACATCCGGCAGTTTCATCTACTAGCAGATCGATCCTCGGCACTGGATAAAGGTCCATGGGACAAGCTTTGTTCAGATCCGAGTAATCCACGCACATCCTCCAGGTAGATTGTTTTGGAGCTAGGACCACATTCGATAGCCATTCTACGTGGATTACTGGACGGATGTGTTTTATTTTTAGCAAGGTGGCCACCTCCCCGCTTTGTGAATTCCTGCCGTTCGGTTGCTTGATATCGTTTCTTTTGCTGGACTGGTTTTGCATCAGGGCGAACGACAAGTTTGTGACATATTATCTCCGGGTCAATCCCTGGCATATCTTCTGGCCCCCGGGCGAATAATACCTGAAACTTTCTTAGGACGGCAATCACGCCATCCCGGATGTCAGCCTCCAGATCTACCCCGATAGCTACCTTACGGTTCAGGGGGAAATCCAGGTCAATTTGCTCGAGGAGAGTGGCGGGCTCTGGATGTGCCGCGAACTCCGTTCGGTGGGTCTCTACCTCAATTGTGTTGACCCGCATTCCACGAGTGTTCATCTGTTTTAGGGCCTCTCGGTAACATGTTCGGGCTGTCATCGGATCAGTTCTGGCCACCCCAACCCCGGTGTCAGTGGGGAATTTGATGCATGAGTGGCGGACAGAGGCTATTGCCTCCAGATCTTCCAATCCCGGTCGACCCAATATGGCATTGTGGGCACATTTTATATCCACCACCACGAACGTCATTCAGAGTGATGCTTTGTGCGTCTCGTCCCCAATTTCAACCATCAATTGGATGGTCCCCTCAGCCTTGATGCAATTACCGGTGAAACTTGCCAGTGGGGTCCTTATGTGGGTCAATTGACTTCTTTGTAGACCCATTTTCTCGAATGATTGTAAATACAATACATTCACACTGCTCCCGGTATCGGTCAGTACTCGGCGAATCAAAGCATTGTCAATGCACATGCTTACCACCAATTCATCCCTGTGCGGGCTTGGGGAGTTGGGTAAATCAGCTAGCCCGAACGTGATCGGGTCCGTCATTCCCTTCTTCTGGGGGGAGTGGAGATGGATCCCACATAGAGACTTCGCTCGAACCTTTTCCGTTCGGCGTTCGAATCCCCTGTCTCCCCGCCCCCAAATATAACCTTGACCTCCATTCGAGGTTTCTTCCCGAGGCCTCCCGAGGCCTCCCGAGCCCTCCGGTTCATCCCTGGGGGGAATATATACGTCATTTTGAGGTTGGGCATCACGTTAGGCATCCCGTCGCTAGCTATTAGGTTTCCTGATCGGTTTCAACGTGCCCACAGCATTTGGGTCCTTATTCACATATTTGCCCAGATGACCCCGTCAGATCAAATCCTCAATGGCCGTTTGTAGGGCCCTACAGGCGTTGGTGGCATGACCCTTCCTGTTGTGATATTTACAAAAAGCAGAGTCGTCTGCTCCTATAAATTGTGAAGAATCAGTCGGGAGGGGAATATTGTCCCTCTCGTGATGATAAATGGTCGCTACTGACAGGACCAGGGGGGTAAATCTCCCTTGCTTGGGAGGTATAGTGGCCACTGGGCTAGGACCCAGCCGATCGGCCATTTTGATTGGGGCAGTAGGCGCAACGACCTTATCCCTGATCATTATCTCCTCTTCTAGGGCAGCATGCTTGCGAGCTCTGTCTAATACCTCGGCATATGCTGTACCCGGATTCTTCTTCAAATCCTTGTATAACTCTCCCGTTCGGAGAGCATTCGTGAATAGGGTAATGGCGGTATCATCCGTCATGTTTCCCACTGTCAGAGTTTCATCCCTCCATCTTTTTAAGAATTGATTGAGGGTCTCTTTGGCGTTTTGCTTCACGCTGGTCAGGTAGCTGAAGTGCCATTTCGGATTGGCACTGGAAGCAAACTGGGCCAAGAATAACGTCGATAATTCGGCGAAACTGTTGATCGATCCGGGTTGCAGTGTCCCGAACCACTCCTGGGCGGGCCCTCTGAGCGTACTAAAAAACAACCGGCAAATAGCAGCCTCGGGTGCTCCTAGTAGCATGAGTCCCCTTTGGTAACTCCTCAAATGCACATGGGGATCTCCCACCCCGTCATAGATTTGACCGGTCGGTGGTTTGGCACCTCCTTGGATGTCCGCATACATGATTTCCCTGGTAAAAGGGGAAGTAATTCCGAGCTGAACTGGGGCAGGTTGTACAGGCGCCCTGTTCATCTGATCCCGCATCTCGTTCATCTGCCTCCTCATCTCAGCCATTTCTTCCTCCTAGGCCGTCAAAAGGGGCGGTGGTGGAGCCCTCATGTATGTATACTCCCGGTCCCAATGCCGTTGAGCGGCCCTGGTTTTATCCCGTTCGGCATACTGGAAATGATGACCAATAGGAGTTGGTCCCCTGGCTTGTGATCCGATCGGGGTTCGGTCGCTGGGACTATGATGCGCTGTTGGTGGGGCGCTACGGCGATTATCCCGATGGGCATGCGAACGGGATGACGTTGTGGTTGTTTCCGTGCGTGGAGTTTCCCCTGTAAAATTGGACCCTCCTTCCTCCTCATTTGCCATATGCTGCATGACCTGGGCCATATCTCGCATGGCCTGAGGATTTCTCCTTAGGGATTCAGGAATCACAAAATCCCCATCAAAACGAGGATACGATCCTCGGCTGGATTGTCCCTGAGGGGTTTGATTCCCCGGGGTGTGACTCCTTCCGTGACGGTGTGAACCGTCGTTTGTGTGATAAGAACTGATTCTGACCATTTTCGAAAATAGTGGTTTTAGGATATTTGAATGTGAAACTTTTTGAACAGTTTCCCACAGACGGCGCCAATGTTGAAGGTAAATCCCGTAGATCCGAAAGCCCAACACGAACTTTGGATATATCAGGAATGGTACAGAATCAAAGTGTATAACCAAATATAAAATATGAACTCACTAATACTCAAAAGCTCACTTGTATTAATTAACCAGTCTGATTACAAGGAAATTCCCGATCGGTATGGTCGGAAATAATGCTTTAATACAAGAAATAAGAGCAATAATGTTATTCTAGAGCCTGAGTATTGAAATGCTAACCCTTACAATGATTTTAAACCTTCTATTTATACTAATGGAGAGCATGGGCTGCTCTATGCTGATTGGCTGTTGTTCCACCGACTTGGTCACCCATGTTTCCACTTGCTGATGTCACAATCTGGCATTAATTGCACCTGGCCACTTGCCGGTTGTCCGTTGCTCGAACGGGATGTTGGACCATGCTGAAGACGCTGTCAAATTGGCCCAAGTATGATATATAGTCCGAACTCCGTTCGGTATATCTTCTTACTAGGCCAACCCTTTCTTGGGCCGAATCTCGTTCGGCATGAATTCTTCACTGGATCTACTCATCATAGAGTGATGGGCTCGTCGTTTGGGCCGGGTATCTTGGGCCTTCTAGATCCGGGTATTGGGCCTCTGGATCAATATCCCAACAGTATGTATCTATGTATCACCGATACAGGTACACGGGAATGCGGAAACGCGGAATCGCAAAAACGGGTATGAGGATACGTAAAAAATTACAAGATTTTTTTTAAAAAATATATACATATATTATCTTCTGACTTCTGCTCATTAATGACATTGAATCATTTCACATTATCAAAATAGAGAGAAATAAATTCATATTTTATTCCATATACACATTAGTGCATCTTAAAATATAAATATATTCAATAAGTCAATCATTTTAAACGAGAAACGAGGCAAACTGCCACAATTTTGAATTAAAAATGTAAGAATTCAAAGTTCTTGGATAATGAAGATAGAAAATTGTACTCTAATAAAAACTAAAAGTTCTAATAAATATTTCCACCAGACGTACTAGCTAATTTCTAGAGATAACAACGTCTTTAAAAAATAAAACCTCCAATTCCGGTTCATCTGTGAAAAGATTGGCAAACTCAAGTTACTTCTCCTCCATATACTTAGAGGCCGTTTGACAATATTGTTTTTCGGCTTATCAGGCTTATCAACCAACTTTTTCACCAAACACGCAACTTTTGCTTTCGCGCGCTGAATTGTGTAATGAGCAGAAAAAGTAAGGTTGTAGTTACTTTTCTGGCTGTATTGACTGAAGTTATTGTAGATGACCATTTTAGCTATTTTTACATATATTTTTTTCTTTATTTTATTAATAAAATATATTTTATAATTATTTTTTTCTTAAATCAGCGAAATAAGCCAATACAACCACTTCAGCCAGAACTTCACAAATTTCAGCAGAATCAGCCAAATCAACCGTTTTCGTGCTACCAAACGGGCTCTTGGTTATCCGATTAAAACAAGGTAAAATTTATTTTAGTTTCTCATTTATGTATAATTTGGGTTCTTTGTAAAAAAAAGTTGATACTTTATCCGTAGGGGTACATGTATCAGAATTTTTAAATAATTATGAAAAAAGTTGATTTTTTTTAATAAATTACAGATAAGATCCAAGTAAATGGATTGCTGTTTAAAATTGTTGCAAATAATTAAGAGCTGGACGCAACAATTGCCAGCAAGGCATATATTTGCGTTCCGATCTCTCAGAAAAAATCTTTTTGATTATTTGTTGTCTAATGCAGTAGTATTTTTTTTTGCAATTTCGATTGCATTGATCTTCCTGGCAGGCGCTCTTGATACAACTCAATGAGTTATCGAAGGTTTGTTTCTACGCTCTCAATCCTAGGGTAACCCATGTTTATATTTGTATAAAATGTATGTTTGCTTTAACATTCATTCGATGTGCTTATATGGATTTTTTCTTCAATTGGTTATAGTCATGCATATTTGTGTTTGCTACGTGAATTCGTGGTAACGGTGTATCAGTGTGTATTGCCCGAATTCTTCTAAATGGTGACTAATAGTTCAGCTAAATACCAATGACATGATAGAGTAGTTTCAGTGAAAAGAAAATGGATGTATAGGATCAACATAGAATCCAATAGCCTGAGGATTCTCCTTTTTGAAGAAACAAGTTTGTCAAATGTGCTCACATGCAATTACAGGTAATGAGGGTTATGATTTTAAACACCTTTTCATCTAATATTAAAGTGTCTGTTATCCAACAATCAGCTTTCTGATCTTTTTTGTGTTTTAAGGTAGTAATTTGACCTATTTCTGACAAGTAACACTTGTTAATATTATTTATATGTTGGGATTTATCTGTAAGCAGGGATCATCGAACTGCCAGGTCTGCTCTCTTTGATAATTATGATAGTATTGAGGAAGGTGGTATTAGGGCTACACGTTCTTACTCCCATGACATTGATGAACACGATAATGATAAAGCCGTGGACAAGCTACAAGACAGAGTCAGCTTTCTAAAGAAGGTAAGTTTTCTTTAAGGCTCTTGTTCTCCGTCTACATGTGCTATTTTTAGAATCTTCCACTCTGTATAAGGTTCACTCTCACTCTCTGCGGCATATAGCCCTATCCTCTAGAAATTCAAATTTTGAACTTAATGTCATGCTACTTGTAGCCGTAGTTGATATTATTTTCAATAATAAAATTTCATAGTGTATGTTATCGTCTTTTTATTTGGTTTGTTATGAGTTCATTTGCTCATTTTTTCATACTGCTAAAGAAGAGGGATCTGAACTCATATCTTTGAGGGCTTGAGGCCAGGACTAGTGTGATTTTCTTAGGTGATGTAAGATATTTTCAACTACCATGTTGTTCAATTTGGTACAAGTGTAGAGCACTTTTATCTTTATGGCCATGTCATCTACTTTTAAGCTAGACAAATTATGACGTTGAGATAAAAATGCTAAGTAGACCCTTACATTTTGCATCCCAGTATTTCAGACTGATTACACAATTTCTCTCTGAATTCAGCATTAAGCGTTCTCTTAATGTTTGTGTCATGTGGAAAATGCTAATCTAAATGGTGAAAAGGTGTATAAAAAAAGAGTAAAAAGTAATGGCGTTCTCTTAATATTACATTTTCAACTTAGCTACATACCGTATGCATTCTTTTAATAAGTATCTGACTATGTGCTTGTTTCATGTTTTAAATGCTAATAAAAATGCTGAAAAGTTATGTAAAAAGGGAGTACAAACTAATGCTGTGTTAGACGATTTTTGGATTCTCATGTCACAACAAGTTATATAATTTGTGAATTTTCTTTTGGAAACAATCCTGACCTTTAAGTTTGAACTGTTGCTGCAACATTTTTTTATTGTTACATAATTTGGATGTGTGGGCACTCTTATAGTGCATGTCACGATGTTTAGAGAGCTTGATGAGTTAGCTTAATGTCGTTTTCTTGAATTGAGTTTTATGGTTTATCTCATAAACTCACTATGCATCCTCATGTAAATGATGTACTCACTAAAGACATAAACTTGTGCTCTATTCACTATGCTTCACTTGGGGTGTTGATACCATGTTTATTATATAGATATGAAAAAGTTTGGTAGCCAGCACATTGAAATGAAGTACAATTTTATGTGAAGGCCATTGTATGAAACCATGGTGATGCTATGGCAGAACTAGCAGGTGTCTTGCTACTATAAATAGAACTTCTAAAGTTCTAAGGGGTAAGGGCTATGAAAATTTTGAGTCTCCTACACAGGTTGTCTACTAGGTTAGGGGATCCTTTTGAATTAATTTGATATTTTTTGACATGGTATGATAGCCACTCGATGGTTTGAGGTATTTAGTTTTGAGGTTATTAAGCATGTCCACCTCCTCAGTTTTATGGTCTGGCTGTGGGGTTTGTGTTGAGTAACCAATATTGGTTGTCTTCAAGGTTTGATTCTAGTATACAAGCATGTAATAAACCTCACATTTTGAGGATTCTTTTGGAGTAAGTTAGACTCAACTTAGCAGAAGACATACAATTCAACACTAACAATTCTTTGTAGCATCCAACGAAGTGTACAAACACATTGCCTATAAAATCCTTTACTTCCAATTTATCATTTTCTTGAGTATTCTAAATTGCACTTTTATGTTGTGTGATTTAGTGCTGATACTTGATGTTGAGATGTTTCAAAATCTTTTTTCTCTTTCTCCCCAGTGTATAGCATAGGGCGGAACTATTGATTTTCTCATAGCATTATAATCATATAATATTTTCCATCATTTTCAATTGAGCCAAAGATTCATTGTTTTTTGGTTTGGGAATATGATGGAATAAAGCAAAATGGCTCACTAAACCATCTGTGCTTCTTTGTTATGAAGCAGCAGTCGATCTATGCAATTTTCAACGTGATTTTGATCATGGGTCTTTCGGAAATAGTCTCTGTATTTTAGCACAGGGGTAAGACTGCGTATACCCGACCCCCTCTTACCCCATCGTAGGTGAGAGCCTTTGCGGCACTGGGGTAATGTTGTTGTTGTTGTATTATAATCATATACTAATGTGGCAAGTCTAGTAATTCTAGCAAGAACTACATATATACATCTGTTTGTTTTGTTAGATATACATGTGCACACATACATACCTACATGCGCCCATGCATACAGACACACACATTCAGTTACCCACACACGCACTCACGCAGGCGCCCCCCCCCCCCCCACTCCCCCACACACGGAACCATACACGCACAAATGCACCCATGTGCGCATGCACACCCCCCATAAATGGGTTTCAATAGGTACCACAAAAAGGTACTTTATCAATGGCGACTTTTCACGATTGGATTCAAGATCATATAGTTGTTATCTGGAATGATCACTTTATTATTCCGTTAATGTATGCACTTGAGTCTGCACATTTATATTATAGTTATAAAAAGTACTCATTCATTCAGTGGTATCTATCTAAACCTCTTATGTGTGGGTATACGTGTCTATAGACACACAAAACTTCCTACCCCATAATTTCAACAATGTTCTTGTTACTTGCATCATCTCTTATCTTCTTAAAGTTAAATTAAACTAGCTCTAAAATCACTATGCTATTTACTTAACATCTCTGTATGCCTCAAGTCCTGAAATGTTTATTTATAGTTAACTGGTGACATACATGAGGAGGTGGAAAGTCACAATCGAGTCCTTGACAAAATGGTATGATGTCAGATTCTCAGCGTGTATTTTGGGGAATTGTATTGTGAAGTATTATTGAAGTCTTGCCTTAATTAATCGATTTAATCAGGGGAATGAGATGGATTCATCAAGAGGAATCATGTCAAGGACCATGGACCGCTTCAAGATGGTATACATAAACTAGAATAGCTTATTCTTTTTTACTCTTTACAAGTATTTTAATTTCAGTTGTGATTTACTATTAATGTATTGGACTTTGATAATGGGTTTACTATGTAAGGTGTTTGAGAAGAAAGCACACCGGAAAACATGCAAGCTTGTTGGGTGGTTTGTGGTTTCCTTCTTTTTGATATACTATATTTTTAGGTGAGCATCTAAATTTTGATCCACAACTTGTATTTTGTGATGGTCGGCCCTAAGTGAAATAAGTTGTTTCCACAATTGTTCTTCAAGGGAACATGTAATTCTTTGTTTCTTTGGTATACCTGTTTCTTACTATCTTCTTTTCATATGATATATTGTATGAATGAAAATCCCTTTGTGAAACCCCTGCTTATTTTAGGGTGTGCAGTAACCTTTCATATGGTTTCATTTCTTTGGTGTGCCTGCTTCTTAGTTCTTAATGTATCCTCTTCATTTGAAAGTTTGGAATCTAAATCCCTTGTAAGATTTTTGCTTATTCAGCTCGTACTATAAGATATTTATAACGCTTGATTGACACTTCAAAGATGGTGCTTTACCTAACAACAGTAACCTAGCCTCAATCTCAAATCAGTGGGGTTGGCCACATAAACCAAGACATGTTTTCCTCATATCATCCAACAATCATGGGTACTCATGGGATATCCAATAATGTAACAGTGGACCTCTTGCACCCCGAGTTAGCAGTGTACAGCTAGACCAAATGGCCAACTTTGGTTTTTTACGCCTTTCACCCTATCCTAAATATCAGATGACAAATGGGGTGGAAAATTGGGCCAAGTGACTGACGGAATTAGTTGTCCAAATATTCTCAACAAAAACAATTGAGGCATTGCTAATCCTTAAGCTAGGTGTTTGAAAACCAGCAAAACTATATTGTTTTTTTTTTTTTGCATATTTCAGGGTGAAGCGTTTTAATCCTTCTGAACAGGTCAACAGGCATCGTACATACAAGACTATAGAATAGTGTGACTTATTTTCTTCTGCTAGTTTCACTGGGATACATGATACTTTGATTGGACTGAGAATTTTCAGCAAAAGAAATGCAACCAAGTGCATATATCGTCTTCTTAGAAGTGTTGCTGCACCTGTGTTGCAAAAAAACTCATAATTGTGTCTTAGTTTAAGAGTACAGCATGCAGCCATAATCAAAGTCCTCGTCTCATTTTCTCAAAGTGGTAAATATAACTGGTTTACTTTTTTTGCTTGCAGGCTTCTCATGTATTCTATGCACAGTTGAAAGAGGAGCTAACTAACCTGTTATATCTGAGTTCGAATTTTGCCATTGAAGGTAGGAACATAGTGTTGCAGGCAATTGACCACTTCGATCAAATACATGAAGTTTGAGATGCCATTTTTGTTGCAAAAATGGCATCTCGATATGCCTCAACTTGAGTGTCTAAATTGCAAAATGATTTTCAATGTGGTGAGTGTCAACTGATGTTCAGTGTCTATAATGGTTGGGTGCGGTTTTCCCTTTTGTCATTCATGAACCAATGTTGTACACCAAGGTGTCATTCAACATGGAACATTCAACGTTACCAGTTACCAGTTTTTATGAATCTAGTTCAAATAATGGTAGGTCGTGGAATAAAAACAATATAAATTGTTGACTAAATGCAATGGCGGTGAATGGAATGGCGAAAGTAGTAAACCAAGAAACCCAAATGGCAAAGACTACTGGGAGCAAAGAGAATGGAGACAAGTATAGTAGTATTCACTTGGGACTTATTTCAATTCAAGTTTATACGTTTTATTAATTATAAAATGTATGTTGAAATATAAAGTTTTGAGCTCAACAATATAAAAATCTGAAGCTACCCCCCCCCCCCCCCCCCCCATAAGGCCATTATTCTACATTTCTAATGTCACCATTGGGCATGTTTTTCGTCTTATAAGATTTATTAGACAACTTCTCTATCAAACAGGTAATTTTGATTTCGCGGTCTAGGTTATGTAATAATAAGAAAACAGTAAGATATGAGTTACTTTTCAAGCTGAATTGATTGAAGTTACTATAGAGAGTCACTCTAGCTATTTTTCATATAATTTTTTATTCATTTAATTACTGAAATATATTTTAAATACGTAGTATGATTTTTACATAAATCAGCACAATCAACCAATCCATCCACTTCAACCTGAATTTTATAAGTTTTAGCAGAATCAACCGATTCAATCAATTTTGATATTATCAAATGGGTTCTTAAGCTTTTACGAACTCCGTTCAAGGTAAAAGTTTCCGTCCATTATTTTTTAAACTTAAATTATTCTTAAACTTTTAGTTTGTAATTCAACTTTTATCAAATTTGCATTTTTTACGAATTTATCAAATTTTTAATATAATTTTTGAATGTGTAAATTGAATTTATTAAAAATAATTTGTAGTCATAATTCATGCACGATAGGTAGAAAATCGTTATATAAAATCATTCCATCAATCCATCATCACCAAATCATTCAAGACATCATGTTATCATACTTGTTAAATAATACCTCACACATACTTGTTAACTCTGCAGGGACTAAAATTAGTCGGCGAGAGTTAGAGCAACTCCAATGCTATAAAATAAAAAGGGTCTATTTAAATTGTGGGCCAGTTGTCTAAGAAATGAGAGGGTCCATACGAGTGGGTCTCCAGTGCTAAACAAAAAAAACTCCTCCACCTCCCTAAAATGAGAACTGAAATAACAAAATAGAGCCAACCGACAGGGTGAGACCGAGGGTCTGTATATGGACCTCCTGCAAGACCTCTGTCTATTTTATGTTTGCCAAGTCAGCTTGACTATGTCCATATTTTTTAGCATTGGAAACTAGATTTTTAAAAAGAGGACCATTGACTTATGTGGATTGTATTTTAAGAGCAATCCATCTCCACGTATTGGGTTTTCTTACATGTACGCTCTCTTTATCTTTATCTTGTAGTAAAGTTTCTAGTTTGATTTTTAATGAATACTTTAACCATGGCAAAATTAGTCGGTACAGAAGTAATTACCTCTTGCTATTTTTGAAAAAAAAAATGTTATGTGAACGGTACAGAAGGCCAAAACATCCACACAAAAACAAATAAAATCACATTTCCCATTAATTGTTTAGTACAACCCGGCTAAAATGGTTCAAAACTCCCTCCGAAGCAGACACAACAATTTTTTATTCCCTCTCAATTTACACCTTTAAATCCATTTGTTTATATAAATAATCATTACAACAATATTCATTAAAACCTTTACTAATTTGATCTACCAGTTAAGGTCCACATGGACATAAATTCAAATGAATGTATGTTGTTTGAGGGGAAACAAAGAGGAAGGTGGGGGAAACTCTTCTTCCTATTTGGAAGTCATAAATTTGAAAAGGGGGAGTTTTTAAAAGAGTTACAATTAAAAAACACTTCGAAATATCACGAATTCAAATAATTAAATTGATATTCATTTTAAATTAGCTTACTTATGATTTCGTTAATTATCCTTTTTACCCCTCCAAATTAGGGGAACTTAAAAATTGAGCATTTAGACGGTTTTGGAAAATAACAATATCCCTCCAAAACCACCTCCTCCAATTTTTAAACTTCCAAACATGAAAAGGAGAGTCATAAACCCCCATAAATCTTCACATCCCCTCCAAAATCCAACTCCCAAACATACCCTAAAAGTTTTCATTGAATCTTCCACCATGGTTCGGTTTATATAAATGCCCCAAGCTGACTATGCATCATAGAACAAGAATATTTGAAATGCTCTCAGGGTATGTTTGGGAGTTGGGGGTTGAATGTTTGCCTTGAGAGGGCGAAGAGAGGAAAGAGAGAGAGAGACTACGATAATTATAATTAAAATTGCTTAAGATATATATCAAATTCAAATGTTGAATTTCTACTCATTTGAGCTAAAAATTTAATTTGTTATTATTCAAAAACCTTCAAATTGGGGGAACTTAAAAATTGAACATTCGAAAGTTTTGAAAGGTTACAAAAACTCTCCAAAACCTTCACCGCCAATTTTTTAAACTCCCAAATGTTATGGTTCAGCTATGAACCAGATGATTGGTATGGGGGAGAAGAAGATATTGTTCGAAAAGTTAGTTAGGGAGTGATAGAAAGAGAGAAGGAGGGAGTAGAATTTAGGAGAGAGAGAGATATAAAAGGGATAATACTTGTTGTATTCCTTACGTGTCCATTCATTCACTTATACTCCCTCCGTCCCGCTAAGATTATCTCATTTTACCTTTTCGGGAAATCCCACTAAGATTGTCCCATTTCATATTTGGCAAAGTTTCTGCGGCTCTTAATCATTCTTACTTTATGAATTCAATATCAACCGCATAAACTCACTTTTCTTAAAAACTGTGTCACCTTTTTCCGTTCCAATGTTAATGGGACGAAGGTAGTATGATGTAATAACAATAATAACAGCCCAAATTGTACAAATGGGTTCAAACAGAATATAAGTTGTAAATGGACTATCAATATTTAGTCAACTAGCCATTAGCTTGATAATATTCCGTCTTTAGTTAGGGTCATAACAATAAAAAATGCTATAGGTACCTCAATCCTACCCCAATTTGTATCCCATATAAAAACCTTTCTATTTTTACCATTTTTACCCCTTCAAACATCTCTCATCCCTTGCTATTCTCTCACCCCCATTCCCATTTTTTCTCCTCTTTTCATTTCAAGAGCTCTCATCTCCATTTTTGAAGGTTTCAAGATCTCCCCATCTAGTTGTCTCTAAGGTAACCATCCCTTCTCAAATAATGAGGTACATACTCTATTTTCCGTTTTTTCCTCATGTGCGTTTTTTATTTTATTTTATTTTTCCTTTTTCGATTTTATGTATATTATGTAAGAATGTATGATATAAAAGTGAATAATTGATTAGTTTGTTTCATTGTAATCATTTAGAGGTGTTAATTAATTAAAATTTTAGTGTAATTTCTCTAGTTCATTTTATGCCCATAACATGTTTGTAGGAATTACTCAATGAACTTTTTGTTGAAATTCAAGACTTTTTTTCATTTTTTTGTACCTCAAGGGAAGAAGATGATGAAGGTGTGGACGTTGAATACTTGGAGTAGAGTATGTTGTTTTTTTGTCATTTGTTTGTATTTTGTTTGGCGGACAGACAATTTAGAATTGCAGTGTCTGTCTAGCCTAAAGTGAACGCGGTTTTGTCTTAAAATCTGAGCCAATTAACTACTCTCTGTATTACAGCCAGACAAATTTTGTCTGGGCCAGACATTAGTAGTCTGGGTCAATTAACTACTCTTTATCTTACAGCCAGACAAATTTTGTCTGGGCCAAACATTAGTAGTCTGGACCAATTAACTACTCTTTGTATTACATCCAGACAAATTTTGTCTGAGCCAAACATTAGTAGTCTGGGCCATTTAACTACTCTTTGTCTTATAGCCAGACAAATTTTGTCTGGGCCAGACATTAGTAATCTGGGCCAATTAACTACTCTCTGTCTCATAGCCAGACAAAAGTTGGTTGTGCCAGACAATAGTTGTCTCTTCCAGACAAATTGACTATGTCTCACATATGCTATTTGTACCAAATATGTGTTCTGACTGCGTGTTGTGTATTAATTGTAGGTATTCACTTCAAGATGACGAATGACTTAAAATGTAAGGCTGAAAAAGAGTTCCAAGCGGATGCTAATTCATTTACAAAAATGATGTCGTGTGTGACTTCTTTTGCAATGGAGAAACAAATGCAAGGATGTTGAAGTATATAGTGTTGGGGAAATGTGCCCGTTTTGAACTTGTGATTTTTTGAACATGTATTTTTTTCATATTACAGTCGGGAAAATGTGTTGAATATTGTATAATGTTACATGTTCAATGTCGAACAATTGGATTCATTTTTTTGAACATGTGTAAGTTTTTGCAAATATTACATTTACAATTATTCACATCTTTTGTTTGTCTGGGTATCTGCGGTATTGTCTGTATGTGTAAAGTTATTATCTTTCTGCGTGAAAGTAATGTCTGTCTGGTTATCTGTGTTGTTTGTCTATTCAACGGTTGTATTTCACCAAATTCATTTGTACATTAACAAATGCAATCATATCTCCGAACACTTTTATATAATCACATTAACAATTACTAAACTCATCAAAATGTACTATAAAATACAGTTTTACTAAACTCATCAAAACAACCCACAAAAATACATTCCCACATTAATAACAATTCCTATGCTTCCTCCACCTTGTTCCACATGTTTGCATACTCGCAACCTGGAATCAATGACTTTCCCATTAACAGCTGCTCTGCGAAGGAAGCCACCATCACTCCACATTCTCCCGACCTGTAGACAGACAACTCAGAATAAATGCCAGACATTTTATATCATATTACAGACAATTTGTTGCAATACATATGTAGACAGACAGACTATTTTCACATTACATACAACTCAAATGGAATGCCAGACAACGCCTTTCACATACAGACAACTACAAATTAATTTTAAAGAATTCATTTCACGTTACAGACAAATCAAATGGAATGCCAGACAACTCTTTTCACTTCACAGACAACTACAAACCAATTTTCAACATCCGAAGAGAGACATCACAAAAGTCATCACACGTAATATAAAATACATTTGTAAAATAAGAAGATGTGCATACATAAAGTTGTTCTATGTACTAAAACAAATAAATTTGTCTGTCCAGACAGACATCTTATGTAAGACTCTACCAATTATTAAACCATGCTCAGCTAGACAGACACTGCACTTCAAATTTGACTGTCAGACAGACAACCATTTTTCATGTGGAGTTGGACGAAAAAAATACCAAAAAATGAGGAAAAAA